TATCGATTTTCGTGTCACTTTTGAAAGTCACTATTGCCGTAAATCGTGTCACTGTGATCGCCGGTAAAATTTCCGACAACTTTTCCGGTGCCGCCACAACACTCCGGCCGCTGCCATCTGGCCCACCTGGTTTACCGCGCCATTGACAACTCGAACCTACCATCCTCGGCCCCGGACCCAAATTCCCCAACCCCTAGCCCCCTCTCCAGTTCGTCCTTCCCTTCCCCTGGCCTAGATCCCGTCCCAAACCAGCCTAGCTACTTCCATATGGATCTGGATAAGACGCCATAGTTGTTCCTCGCTACCGTCCGTAAGACAATCCTTCGTCCAGGCACTCCACACAAGGAAGCTTGCGAAGGGAGAGTCCATAGGCGCTCCACGCAGCTATTGAAGAATAAGTGATAAAGCTCTCCTCTTATTCTACGATAATCCAAGTCTCACGAACTTCTTACTGAGGCAGCAAGAAAACTCCTGCGCGAACAATCACCGCTCACCCTCTGACCCCTCACTGCCGAATCTGGATACCTCGCTAACAAATTCATCATCGCCGCTCACCCCCTCAGATTCAACCATCATTGGATTCCCTTCCTTCACCATCCCTGAAGCCAGACAGAAAGGGAAGAAAAAGAAGAGCAATTGGGATGACGTTGCGACTGAGAGAGCCTGCGGCGGAGGCGGCGGAGGCTGGTCTTAACTGATGGGAGATTTGAGAGTTGGTGGTGGATTGTAAATCTGGCAGGGCAGGGGATGATTTTCCCGATTGCATCTCTACAACGGAGAAGAAAGGTAAGAAGGTAGAGAGGCAAGGCGAGGCTCAGAGAGGTAGACCGGCGGAGAGAAGGCCCCATGGCCGTGCAAAGAGAATCGCCAGATGTACGAAGAGAGAAGGCTAACTGTGCGAAGGAGAAGGCTTTCCTGCCCCTGGAGCTGCGAGCGTGTGAGACCGACGGAGAAGACCCGGATGACAAGTCATAATTTTGGAAAGTGTAAAACTGCTCATATTTTTGTCTACTCAAACTATATGAGTAATTGTTTTGCCATTATTTCTTACTTTTTCCCCTTACCCCGTGTTTTTTCTTCCTTTTTCTCTCGGTTGGGGTGAAAAATAGGTTGATTTTTTATAGTCCAGGAGTCAAGGCTCTTACGCTTAGGTTTGGACTCGGGCGGGCCTGACCAGGCTTTTTTTAGCTTCTTGAGGCCCGGAACCGGCACAGGTAGCTACCGGGTCCGGGTCAGGGCCCTGGCCGGTTCGGGCCGGGTTAGCCTAGGTACATTATTTTTTTATTTTTTATTTTGATTTTGTAATTACTTCCTACCCCCCCCCCACCCCACCCCCAAACCCCTCCAAAACACCCAGCCCAACCCATTTACCTTTTAAAGAATTTGAAAAACAAAAAAAAATAAATAAATTTGGCCCGAATCGGGCCTGACCTGGCCGAGTCGGTTCATGATTTTGAGACTCGAAGCCCGCCCCGAAACAGTACCAGGCCGGGTGGCCCGAACCGAACACGGACGCGAGTATCGGGCCAGGCCGGGCTGAAACAGTACCAGGCTGGACCGGTTGACCCGGCCCGAGTCCATCCCTACTTACGCTTCCATAATTCTGGAATTTATGAATTACTCTATAAAGCCCCTAGATAAGTAAAGGGGGTTATTGCCTTGATATTACTAAATTTAACTGAATTTCCAAGTACTTTAAATTGACAAAAGAGTGTGTCAGTGTGTACTTTAAATTTCCAAAAAGTGAGTACTTTAAATTGATAAAAAACTGTGTACTCAAAAAATTGACAAAAAAGTGATTAACAAGGTCACATATCTGGAATTAGAAAACATGATATCACTGCAAAAATTTATGTCACTGGGTTCGTTTCTCTTGTCACTGAGAGTTGTCAAAGTCAATTTTTTATGCCAATTACACCGCCACAGTGACACTGTCATAGTGACGCCACCACAGTGACACTACTCCCGAATTTTCATGTCACTTAACGAATGTCACTGGCTTGAACGTGTCACTATGACTGTCGGAAAATTTTTTGGTGATCTTTCCTGGTGAGACTGTACGTCTGTACAGCACGCCATAGCTTGTTCCAGCTCCTCCCCAATGTTGGTGATTTTAGTATCATCGGGTTCATTTTAGTGTAATGGAATTTACAGATTACCAATGGAGTTCAAGTTTAATTTTAGACAAGTTAGGAGGTGCGGAGCGCACACTTGTACAAAATTAAATTTAAACTTGGTTCGATTAAATGGTGGGGGTCAAGGGGGCTGCGCCCCCTTGCGGGGTCCAAGGGGCAGCGCCCCTGGCGGGGGTCTCGCTGGGGAGTTGGGAAACTGTTTTAGAAAATCTGGCGGATTTCTCAGAGTATCGTGTGATCACTTTCCGAATCTAATATTTCGACCCTATGCCTGGGTTACACGAAATTTAGATTATGGGGATAATCACTCTGAGAGACAGTCTAAAACTGAGGCACCAATATATAGACCACGAACTATCAGTTTTAGTAGAACTCGAATTCTTTTATTTTATTAAAGAAATAAATATGGAAATTTATTTTCGGATAAACATGTCCATATTAATTATTTAATAGAATGACTTTCTGTTAGAGTAAAACTCTAACTGATTGGCCTTATCTCTTTGGTAATCAGAAGAATTCGAGTTCTACTAAAACTGCTAGTTCGTGGTCTATATATTGGTGCCTCAGTTTTAGACTGTCTCTCAGAATGATTATCCCCATAATCTAAATTTCGTGTAACCCATGCATAGGGTCGAAATATTAGATTCGGAAAGTGATCACACGATACTCTGAGAAATCCGCCAGATTTTCTAAAACAGTTTCCCAACTCCCCAGTTTTAACACCCAACATCCCAACTCAGCCCCTGCAACAACCCTCCGCCCATAACAATACCCCCTGCAAGAGCCCTACCACCGTCTCCCTCATAGTCTCGATTCAGCCCCAACAGCCCAACCCCAACCACCATTTCTCCAGCTCAAGCCCCAATCTCTGTCGCCGCCTCACAAACCCGTCGCCGCCCCTCTAACCAAAGTCTAGCCGTAGGAAATCGCTAATGATGGTTGCAAATCAAAAGGTCATCGCCGAACCCTAGCCCCATGTTACTGTAGCCGTCATCACATATCTGACATTCATCGCCACACCCTCGGCCAGAGTAAGGTGAAGAAGAAGAAGAAGAGTGCAGACCTGGAGGAGATGACAAAGGTTGGCCAACTACGACGAAGAAATCAGCGACGATGAAGATTGGCTCCTACAAAGACAACGTCAGCGACGTGGGATGGCTGGGACAAAGAAAGCGACAGCAAGGGTTGGATGTGACGAAGACGGCGACATCGGTGTGCATTGACTGCGAGGACGTCGGGGCTGGTCGTCTCCTCCACTCCATTGCTCGTAGATTTGCACAGAAGCTGCAATTGCAATGACATCCAGGGGGAGGAGGAAGTCTGCAATGTCACCATAGAATACTAAATCATATTTTTGGAAATATGAAAAAAGTCATATTTTTGTCTTTAAGAAGTGTGTGAGTAATAATTATGCCATTCTTTTATAAGCTACTCCGTGAAGATAGAAAGAATCATAAGAAACACGACCTCCCTCATCTCTCTTGATGGGAATTGATCCCAAGACCTCTCACAAAGAAGAGACTTGGAGGAAGATAATCATCCATTGGACCACACCCACCTTTCTAGGCTTGGACTCAGGTCGGGCCACCCGGCCCGTGGACCAGTCCGGCCCGCTACTGTGCGGGACTGGGACCGGCCCGGTTCTCGGGTCCGGGTCGGGCCTAGGCCCGGGGGGTAGGGCAAGTCCGGGCTCGGGTCTCAATTTTGGTGAACCGGCCCGGCCGGGTCGAGCCCGGGCCCGTGCCCGGGCCAAATTGAATTTTTTTTTATTTTTTTTTCATTTTTGGGGTTCCACCCGGGTTGGGCTTGATGGGTAGGATGGGTTTGGGGGGGTTTGGGAGGGTGGGGTGAGGGGGGGGGGGGGTAGGAAAGCAGGAAAAAAAAATCCAAACCGGAGGCCCGGCCCGGCCCGGACCCGGTGGCTACCCGGGCCGGTCCCGGGTCCACCATTCTTGAACCGCCGCCCCGCCCGGGCCTAGGCCCGACCCGGGCCCGGACCCGGCCCGGACCCGAGTCCACCCCTACACCTTTCTAAAAAATAGGTTGATTGTTCCACACCTAAGGATGCACAACCCCATTATCCCCTCCTCCCATACTAACCGAGTCGGTCCGGGCCCGCACAGTAGCGGGCCGGTCCGGTTCCGGGCCGGTTGGCCCGGCCCGAGTCCACCACTAATACTAAGGTTGTATGAAATCATACTAAGGTTGTATGAAATTTTGGGGTGAATAGACCAAATGTCCAAATCTACTCTTTTCACCCTGGATTGCAAATGGACTCGTCAGTGCCAAGTAGGGGTGGACTCGGGTCAGGCCAACCGGCCCGGCCCGGACCGGCCCGCTACTGTGCGGGCCCAGCCCAGACCGGTGAACCGGTTCCGGGCCCGGTTCAGGCCAACCGGCCCGGTGGGATGGCGGTTCGGGCTCGGGCCCTTCAAAAGGTGAACCGGCCCGGCCGGTTCGGGCCCGGGCCGGGCCATTTTTTTTTTGTTTTTTGATTTTTTTTTAAGTTTTTGGGTTGGGCTGGGCATTTTGGACCATTTGAGGTGGTTAGGCTTGGTTTGGGGTGTGGGGGAGGGTTGTGGGTTAACTAGGAAAAACCCAAAAAAAAAATATAATAGAACCGAGGCCCAGCCCGGACCGGACCCGGAGGTTACCCGGGCCGATTCCAGGCCTCCCCTTCTTGAACCGAGGCCCGGCCAGGCCTGAACCAGAACCGGTCCACCCCTAGTGCCAAGTCCTAGTCTCGGTTGGCTATCTTGGGGTCGAGACAAGTCGCGTACTTGTTGGTTGTCATATCCGAGTCCCAATGACTAATATTGCATAAGAAATGACATTAATGCACCCAAAGTCCCAAACCAACAAACATTGGCGCCCAAATCAATTCGCACTTCATTGTGAAGTATAAATTCATGCTTAGCAACGATACGAGTCAATTACAACCCCTACTCCTTCCAAGAAAAATGAAAATCACAAAAAACATTCCCTATAGCTTTGGCTGCTAAACAATTGATTGAACTAGTTTCACAAACTTCGGCTGTTAAAATGCGGTCTATACACAACACAACATTTAAGAGAAACTTTAAAAAACAAATAAATATTTTACATTTCGGTGAAGATATGTTAGCCTGCAGAATCTGTGAGGTATGCTTAGTTGATGACACAAAAAGGACTTGCATAGACCAGAGCGTTCCAACTAGCTATCCCTTGGGTAAGCTGAATGACTTCATCAATGCAATCTGTGACACGGAATAGATGTACGGATCTTAAAAATGCTGGAGATAATTACCTACTTACCAGTAAATCAAAAGAGCTTAAAATGCATTTTATAGTCATGGCCTCATGGGAAAGCCGCAAATCATTATACATGCACATTAGGTTGGTTTCTTCATGTTTTACTACAAAGGATGCATTCTTAGAAGTTTTCTGTTACAAAATAAAATGTAGAGTGACATGATATAAAAAGAGAAAAGGGTCAAATAGACCCTTATACGATTGACAATCTATCACATAAACCCATGTACTAAAAAATGCATCACATAAGCATTTTTACTATAAAAAATCAATCATATAAGCCAATTTACTTGAACATGACCAGTTTTAACCGGTCATATGGTGATGAGTAATTATTTTTTCTTTTTACTTTTTTTTCATTACTTTCTCCATTTTTGCTCATTTCTCTTTCTTGTTCATCCTCTTATTTTGTCCTGCTACCGCTCCTTCCCCTCAATATTCTAACCTCTTGAAATTTTGTTTGGTTCTTTTTTTCTTTAGTTCTTTCACCTTTTCTTTTACCTCTTCGGCTCTTCTTCTCATGAGACGGCTTCCTGCAACCCCCTCGAGGACACCCACCTCCTGGAGATGTACTTCATCAACTCCGCCGGGCGCCGCCGGCCTACACCGCTATCCGGCCTTCATTAAGTTGTGGACTTGTGGTGCACTTGTTTAGTCACTTATACACGTGTATTACGGGGTATGTTCTTGATAATGGATTTATGGGACATGTTCTCCGCCGCATGAGGTGGTCGGCAGGGTGAAGGTGACGACCACTTGGATGCTTTCTTAATATAACAACCGTGTGTCATAGATTCACGTACCCCCACGCTTTTTCTATTAAATACATATGATGTCTATATACAGTGTACGTAATCAAATACTATTGTTATTTTGAGTGCAAACTGATGTTCATAACCTTTCCTACTTAGTGACTGTTTCATGGAATCATGGCTTCATGCATACATATATACGGAGTACTAAAAAATCAATGAATGAAACTAACGAGTTTTTATTGATTCCAATTATACAATTAATAACCGGTTCCTAATTAACTAAACCAAATCTTTCAAATAGACCAAAGTACAAGACAAGAAATATACTTTCAATAAGAAGGAAAAAAGAAGAAGTTGAAGAAGGGGCATGGGTTACGTACGGACAACTAGGCGAAGTTAGAAAAATAAAATTAATGGACAAATTAAAGAAAAGGGTAAAGAATAATAACGGAAGAAATATAAGAAAATACGGAGTAATAAAGAGGTGAAGAAGTAGGTGGGCATCTGGTAGGACCGAAGAAACAGGCCAGAAATAAAATGAGAGAAAAAGGAGAGAAACAGGTAAAGAAAAATATGAAAAAGAAAAAAACTAACAAATCAGTAATTGACCGGTTAAAAATGGTCACCTTACAGTAAATTAGCTTATGTGATCCTTTTTTAAGAGTACAAGTGTTTATGTGATGTTCATAAGTAAATGGGTTTAAGTGATTAATTGACAATTGTAGAAGGGTTTATTTGACCCTTTTCTCATATAAAAAAAGGGCAGCCCGATGCACATTGGTGTCCCCGCAAGACAAGGGTGCGGTGAAGGGTCCAACCACAAGGAGCAAGCCTTGGAGTGGGATGATAAGCGTAAGAAATTGCCTTAGTAGGGAGGTCAAATAACTCTGTCATGAAATACATCAGAGAATTGAATCTATGGCCTCAAAATTTGATAATTTTCATATTAATGATCCAAAATGATTTATATTTTTAAAAGCACGTTTCTTCACTACTAGTGGGTCTCAAATTAGTTAAAGAATTTAATAAGTTATTAATCACAGATACATAATCAGAGAAAGGATGTCCATACCTACAACTTGCTCAATAGGCAGAGTGACCCATAAAAGAGGCGCATTAGAACCTTGTCATCTGTTGCAACATTTTTGGAGCATTAGATTGTGAAACCAGCTGCTCTGAGCTTGGATTTCTTCCTATCAAGTGGTTCTGCTGCTGACCAATAACATGATCACCCATCCCTTGCCTAACCATCATCTCTCTATGATTACTATTATTATTATTTGCACTTGTGTTTGTTTCAGCATGCGTAGCTTCCATCAACGAACGTATCTGAACAAAATTACGGTGTGGTTTTACACGTTATATCCAGCGTGACTTGAATTAAGGTTTTAAGTGTTCTTTTGGCACAGGTATATTTAATGGGGGTGGGGGGTCAACATAACACACTTAACTTACCACATCCAAGCGCTTCTTGTGGATGTCACTAGATGGCTGCAAGAAAGAAAAATCCATATCAATGACTGGAAACAAGATCAATACAGCCTACAAGCATAACCACTACAAGTTCACCTGAGTTCTTGTTCTTCAATAATGTCCATGGCTATAAAATAGCATAACCCACCAAAAGGGAATATAATGTATGAATTAACAGCAGTTGTTAAACTTGTTATCCCCCCCCCCCCTCATTTTCATTTTCGCTTCTTAGTGGAGGGGGTGGAAGCATTGGTGCACTGAATGTGTGAGTAAAAAAACAATTAATTTACAAAATATTTTATAGTAAAGAAAGTTACCTATAGAAACTTCTACCACGCCTCTTATCAACTAGGCATCTAATCTAGTCCCCTAAACAAGAGAATATTAACCCACTGGGCTACTTCCCATTGCAATTTACAACAAACAAAAAAATGGGAGCAGTAACACAGAAATGCAGAATACTGCATCTTATTCAGAATTGAGAGTGAGAGGCGCTTACATGTTCCAGTTTCTGTTTCCTGTCCTCACTTGAGAAACCCGGAATTGTCAAATGCCAATTTTTTTCTGTAAAACAGTTGATTGTAATTAGTTCATGTCCCCCTTAGTGTTGTGTATAATGGAAATGATCAAGTTAGGCTAAAATTCATTCCAATCTTTAGGTCACTTAAATGGTTCAGGTTTTTTCCCTCATTGTATTCTCCTATCCTTTTTCAACTCTACCCAAAAACTCAATTTTGCTCCAGTAATCTTCTCACCAAACTATCCCTATGGACATCATAGGGATGTGGGATTCTAAAGAGCGAAAATATCTGAACTGTTGAAGTGAAAGGATCAGAATGAATTTTAGCATGACAAATCCTGTCTCCTGATGAGGTCATTACTCATATGTATGTAGTGTGTGTATAAACAAAGTAAATGCAATGTTTTAGTATGTATTTTAATTTTAAATGCAATGATTGACAATACTTTTCATGACTGTCACAAATAAAAAAATACTCCGCAGAAGATTAAGTAGCATGACATAAGGGGAAGATACAGGCATACAACATAACATAAGAAAGCAATAGTTGCAGGACAGACCAAGATGCAATAATACATCCTTTGATTCAAGGGTTGAAGATTTTCTATGCTTCGCCAAATTGCAAGCAAACGTAGTTACCTGCAATAGTCAAACAACATATGATAATAAAATGATGTGATTTGCATGGAAAGCTTGAAATGGTAGTCAGGCACTGAAAAGAGAATCAGAAGGCAGATATCACATGGAAGAAAAAGTTTACATTGATTACATCAGATATCAACAGTATTTTAATTTACAAAAAGTAAGTAGACAAGTACTAATTAAGCGTGGACTAAAGCACTACTTGGCTACTGTCTAGTGATTTCCCTGACTAAAATTATAGACTTGGTCTCGGGAGAATGAAATTTGAAAAAATCAAGAATATAAAAACAGGAAACAAATGCAAGTGGAATACACAATATGACAATAGTCATGGACTAAAACCACATAGCCAAACAAAAACAAATAAATAAACCAACAAAGATGCCATATTGCAGGAAGTCATTCAAAATTAACAAGTGAAAATGCAAAAGCGTTATGACTAGCTATGACAGCTAACATAAATATCACTGTTAACCATTACCAGAAAAACGATAAGAACAGGATGGAAGTTTCAATGTGTTAGCGCCCTAGAAACGTGAGAAGAGAGACAAATGAAAGAAAGATAATTTGAGTCTCACTGAATCAATAAAGTCATCAGCAATCTCTAAAAGAAGATCTTCAACATCAGGGTCAAGCTTCCCCAAAGAATCCACCTGGAACCATACAATTTTTTATCAGGGCACTTAAAGAAAATTAAGACATATCATACAACCTCCACCCTATAATTAAGTTTATAGTTCGACTTTTTGAGTAAAATTTTATTAACTTTGAACATTGAGTATTCAAAAGTCATAGTGCTTTATAGCATGAAAATAATTTTGAATACTTTATTTTAACATATATTAATGAAATGGTAATTTATAACAGATTTTATAAGTCTAAAATCTTAAATATAGTGGTCAAAGGTCAACTTTGAAGACCGTGAAAGTCAAACTGTAAAGTTAATTATGAGATGGAGGAAGTATGTCACTACACTTTCCTGGATGTCAAGAGACTCGAGATAATTTCTCATCTTGACAATAGGCAATTAAAAGTTTACAAGGCAAAACTATGCCACCAATCAGAGAATTAATCACATTGGTTTTGTATATAGTAAAAATAGAAATGACTCTTGACTTCAAATACATCCAATCATGTGCTTATGCCTTAATTATTATGCAGGGAAAAATTAATAAACAGGTGAACCAGGGGTTGGACCTGCGAAACTAAATCCTGAATTTTTCTCTTTCCAAGAAGTTGATTGCTTGCTTCAGTTCCCTGGCTTGAGCTCCCCCCAGGAGTAGTGGCTCCTGATGCAGTAGCATCTGGTTGTGATCCAGTCAAACTTAGAGATTTTTGGCATGTGGGGGCTGCGATATGCGGCGAAGATTGCTGCTGAGGCGGTTGCTGTTGTTGATGCAAAAGCTGCTGTCCAGACGGCTGTGGCTTCTGTTGATGCAAAATCTGCTGTCCGGACGGCTGTTGCTTTTGTTCAAGTGGATGCTGAAGTTGCTGTGCTGCTGGCTGCTGTACAATTTGGGATAACTGTTGGGGGCTCAAAGCCATAGAATTTTGATGCAACTGCTGATTTGAAGGCATTTGTTGTTGAATAAGTGATTGCCTTGGGTGCTGAATACGGAATGAAGGGGAATTCGGTGAAGATAGTGTTGGAATCTGTTTTACCCACGGCTGCTGAGCTAACGTGTTCTGCAACATAGCCGATTGACCATTTGGAGTCAATCCAGATAACTGGGGATTCATAAATGATGATGTCCTCTGGAGGTTCTGGGCCTGTAGTTTGTAAGGAACATTGTAAATTTGTAATGTCAAAAGACACATTGAAAATAATATTCTATTTAGTAGTTTACACATGAATGGGGAATCTTACAATGACATAATTCTTGAGACTAGTTTTATAAAAACACTTTTAAAGAATCGTCCACCTAGTTAGAAGAGCATCATCTAAAATGAGAAAAGAAGATTCATGACAGCATGACACATCATCATCGGGATAAATAAACAGAGCAGTAACGCTACTTTCTTATTCAACTTTAAGCTTTCAGCAAGAGCATGTGTGTAAGGGGCCGTGAAAATGTAAAAATGGGACATAATGTAAAGGCATTTTCTTTACCCACTGCTGCTGAGCTAAAGTGTTCTGGATCATAGCCGATTGACCATTCTGAGTCAATCCAGACAACTGGGGGTTCATAAATGATGTCGTCCTCTGAAGGCCTTGGGCCTGTAATTTATAAACAACATTGTAATGTTAAAAGATAAATTGAACATAATGCAGTAAAGTCAGATGAATGGGGACCTTACGATAACAAAATTCTTGAGACAGTTTCGTTAGAATAAAGAAACAGTAGCAGTAACATCTGTATTTGGTTTTGAGCATAAGTGCAAATGGAACCGAAAAAACCAAGCCCACCCCTAGCCATATAGTAATGAAAATAATAAAAAGGTGTGATAGGTCATCTACACATTATTAACCAAGATCTGTTTTTCCCTGCAATAATTCTTAGGTGCAACAGTTTCCAATTTCCATTGACATGATGCCAGTAAAACTTGACTGAAATACTAAACCATAGTAGATTTTTATCTTTAAAACAACAAGTAAATGTAAAACCCATAATCCATTAATTAATACTCCCTCCGTTCCTAAATAAACTTCCAACTTTCCTTTTTCGTTCGTTTCAATTAAAACATCCATTTTCCCTTTTTGGTAAAAAATTTGTGGTTCACAACATTTCTTACACATTTCTCTCTCCTCTGCACAACTCTCCACCACACAATATCCACTATCTTAAATTTTGTGCCAAATCAATGTGGAAGTTAAAATGGGAACGGAGGTAGTACAAGGGCATATAAACGGGGATTTTAGCACAGTAATTGAGACAAAAAGAAATGCCCATCACGTTGGCATAAACCATTGTGAAGTAGAACAAACTCAAGTGGTGGAGAAGCATAATTTTATAAGCCTCACTAACCATATTTTCAACCTGATAATAACCTATTTGATTACTGTATTATCTGAAACTAATGCAACCACAGATAATAAAAGAAGTGTTTTCAAGGTGTTGTTACATTTGCATTGTTTTAAACAAATACAGTTTCAAATTCAGCTTATTTTGGCATTATTCATTCACAATTAGAGAAAAGATTTCAGCCAAATTTAAACACACCAGATAGGCTCAGTACACCATGGTCCATGGCAGTCCCTCCTTAATCCTTATGTGAATCACCACTCCACAAGGATTAAATTCTGAAAACGAACTAAAGTTTTGAGCTGATACCACGAATATGAGGAGAAAACAATTCCAAGAAGCAAAATTTATCTTTTTGAGGAAAGAGACACACAACTACAACAATTGAGAACACGGTTAAACAGAAGGGCAGTTTACAAATCAAACCCTAGACTCGAGGCGGTGATGACGATCAGAATTTAATTAAAAGAGAATCACCAGCAAATAGCACTCTTATGAAGGTTAGATTAAGTAAGAAATTTAACGAGCGCCAAAGAATCTATTTCAACGAGAGAAATCGAACCTGAGGAGCAGCCAAGAGGCCAGGATGATAAAGAGACTGTTGTTGAAGAAGAGCTTGTTGCATCAAGGCCTGCTGCTGCTTCAGCCTCTGGTTCTGCATTTTCCAGGCCCTCGATCGGCTTAATCAATGAAGGAGCGGAAGAATTTCCCGGGTCCGAACGATTTTGCGGGGAAAGGATAGAGAGACAGAGGCAGAGAGGGTAGAATTCCAAGAAATGTGAGGGCCCGTTTATTTTATTCTGAGTAGTTTTCAGTTTTCACTTTTCAATTTTTTTTGGGTGCTTAGATTTGGGTAAGGTTGTTTGAAATTGATTCTCCCTTCAGAAACAGAACTACTCGTAGAATGCAAAATTTCAAATCGTGTGGCTAGCTGCTTTAGCATTTTGATTAGGGAATATTACTAGTTCTTGAATTTACTTGCTATAAAAGGTGATTTTCAAATGAATATCAAGACATCAAACATCATACGGAGTAGTATTTTTTTACTAGTATATTTTAGAAAGGGTTTATTCAAATTTTGTAAACCATACTTATACTCCTTTTAAAATGACACCACATGCATAATTTGGTTGATACAGAGTAGTGTAAACGCTTACCAGGGAAAATTATCAAAGCGGTAGATGATATTTAGTCAAATTAATATACAAAGAATTAACTCTAAATTGAATTTATTATTATGTAAGGATTGAATTCTTTGAAATTGAACTTATGAAATATGACGGGTGGAAGTGATAACCTAATAGAGTTTTGTCGGAAGTATCCCAAAATGTACCCCATTTTTATACAACACTCTAATATATGATCATAAATGAAGCATTTCATTTAAGTGGGGCATCACTTAAATGAATTGCTTCATTTATGACCACACATTAAGGAGTAAAGGTAAAAGTGAGGTACAATTTGGAGTACTTTTAATATTTGTGATATGAAGTATATGTTAGAACCTGATGTAAAGCTCAATACTTGTATTTTTGGGACTCTGTGTAAATAAAATCGTTTGTCAAAAAAAATTGCTAACCACATGAGTAAGTTGTTTACCTACACAAAATTGACCAATCAAAAGAGAATGCACAAAAAAAGAATAAAAAATACACTTTGTAAGGAATAGATATTAAACATGAGTGAGTCTTTCAAGTTTCTACTTAAGGCTCAGTAATAGGAAATTTCTTACTTTACTTTTGATTGGGCATTTGGGTGTTACTCTTCTTTGTTCGTTTTGACTTATTTCTTCTTATTTTTCTTCTCTTTTTTCTTCATTTTCCGCGTACTTATAATGACTCTTTTTCATAACTAAAGTTCCATTTAAAACAAAATAAACTTTTATTAATAAAAATGATGTTTTATAATGTGTGCAGTGAAAAAATATAAAGCGTTAAATGGAATTGTGGCACATAACAATATTTTCAATTGTTTTGGAAGTGATTTTAACTTTTAAGTGTACTTTGATATCTAAAAGGTACCAATACCAATGTTCTATACATTGGTATTGTTGTATACAATATCAATGTTCTAAAAGGCGTTGAGCGCTAGTCGGACGTCAATCTAGCGCCTAGCGCCTAGGAGGGTAAGTGGGCACCTAAGCGGGGACTAACCGAATACACATAAATTGTATTTTTACCAATATCTTTCCATAAATATGACAAGTAAAACAGTGATATTGTGTTTTTGTGTGTGAAAAATATACACACACATTAACATGCATGAATGATAGAATTGTCACATTTAATAATATATGATAACCAATCACTCAACTGCACTATGTTATAAATATTAAATAATAATAAAAATTATGTATATATACAAACATATATAGTTTTTATCTTAATTTAGAAGTACCTCTCTTCATATTCGTGATTAAGGTTAAAATTACATATATCTCTTAGAAAAATAAAACTAAAGCAAAAATTATCTGACGAATCTAGATGCCCTAGGCGACGATTAGGCGCTCTGGGCGGGCAACTAGGCGTACTAGACAGCCGACTAATTCACCTAGGCGCCAACCCAATTAGTTGGGATGCCTAGACAGAAATTGGGGCACCCAACCACCACCTAGCTCCTAGGCATGGGCTAGTCGGGCGCCTAGAACGATTTTTAGAACAGTGTACATGTTGGTAGAAAATATCCCGGGTAGAGAAACTAGCAGCATTTCAGTATAGTAAAAATAGCGTAGAGAATACAAGGGGGTGATGGCCTATTTATAGGCACCCATCACAAGTCCAAAGTCTAACCTACGTGGGCTTGGCCCAAATACATAATACATGTCTAAGCTAATGGGCGAACCGGTCCGATCAATAAGTAAATGAGCAAGGGGCGATTCCCGCTCATGAGACTGCGTCTTGGGCCTAGTTGGGCCAAAGCTCGGGGATAACGGGCCGATGGCACTGGGCCTAGCATATTATCCCAACACGAGTCTCCCACTCCCTTAGTCGAGTAGTGGACTCGACTAAAAGGGAGTAGTTGAGCTGCTTTGAAATCGGCCTGGTCTCCAAGCTAGCTAGCTAGTTACACAGATGATTGTTGATGATGACGATCTGCGGTGTGCCTGGAAAGGTTAGTCATGTAACCGTCTGTTGTGATCCCACAGTGTTGCGCAAGGATGAGACCCTTCTTGTCTAGGTAGCATCCTGGGGTCCTGGTTATCTGGCCAGCTGCCAGGTCTTCTTTGATCCAACCAGGAAGACCTCTTCCCTTGTTCATGATGAGGGGATGCCTCGTTAAAACCTTACTAGGAAAAAACTCGGTGGGAAAAAATCCTAGTGAAGGAAAAAGAGTACACCGGTACCTGAAAATAAAACAGAGGAAGGTCAGTCTCGTCGGTTCTTGATTGAGCGTCTGCTTTACTGGTAAGCCGAGATATGTTCCGGGAAGGCCAGTCGCTCGTCTGCTTTCCAGTGGTGGCGGTCGAGCCAATGCATGCTCGGGAGAGACCACCCGCATAGCTGTTTGTCGAGCTAAGGTATGCCCATGAGAGACTGGTCGCAAAGCTGCCCGTTGATGATGCCGAGCCGAGGTATGTTCGGGAGAGGGTAGTTTTATAACTATGCACATTGATCCCCGCTGCTTGTGAGAGGATATGGTTTCCTTCGCCTAGGTAGCAGTTTTAGGTCTTGTTTATCCGATTAGCCTCCCATGGTCTCGTTCTTCTGATCAGCAGCCTGGGGTCTTGTTTGTCTGATTAGCTGCAGCCCAGGGTCTTTCTCTGGTGGAGAGATCTCTTCTTTAAATGCACCCAAAATAGAGCTAAAGGGTAAGCTCTTAGGCCATTATGTGCAGCTGCAACTGTCGCCATCCGTCGAGGGGATAGCAAAGACCGGTCTTCACTTGTGAGCAGTGCTCGCCTGATGTTCTCGAGATAGATGCAGTGAGTAGTCTGCCATGATAAGTAGTCCCTATTGATTGCTATTATTACCTGTTAGAGAAATGGCAGGTAAAAGAGGTGCTCTCGCTGCTTTAGCTGCAGTGCAAGATACTAAATTTTGGCCTTCAAAGTCAGATGAGAAGGTCTATCTCACGTAAGGAAGAGGCCCGGAGCTCCTCCGCCTGGTGCTGGGGAAAAGATAGAAGCTTCCCTGCTTTGCGAAGAGCGACTTTCCAAGAAGAGCAAATGTATAAACTGCTCCTTAGGCCGGGTAAAGGGAGATAACCCAACCGGCAGAATCCTCGCTTACGCTGTTTGTTTCCTCGCAGGTATGGCTGGTTGGACGGAGAAGCGCATTTGCTGCCCTGCCCTGACCTTCATTTCCTCATAGGTATGGTAGGTTGGAGAAGTGCACTTGCTACCCTGACCTTCGTTTCCTCGTAGGCATGGATGGTCGGAGAAGCACATTTGCTGCCTTGGATGCGACGAAAGATGCTAAGTCTCGACCTTTGACATCCGATGCAAGTCCATCTAATGTCGGAGAGAAGCACACAACTTCTCCACATGATGTCGGGGAGAAGTGCGCAGCTTCCCTGCATAATGTCAGGGAGATGCTTAGAGCTTCAATGTCCGATACCGGGGAGATGCACGCTCATTCCCTGCCTGATGCTGGGGAGAGGCACACACCTTACCTGCCTGATGTCGGGGGATGTTAAGAGTTTCTCTGCCTGATGTCCGGAGAGATGCCCAGCTTCTCCGACTGATGCCGGGTAGAAGCATGCACCTTCCCTGTCTAATGTTGGGTAGATGCTAATTGCTTCTTCGCCTGATGCTGGGGAGAAGCACTCACCTTCCCAGGCTTGCGATGAAGAAATAGTCGTCATCCCTGTGGACGGCGGGCTGGCCTGATTATAGAATCAAAATGATAACGTTTAGTCTGGTTGTGATGAATCCATAGCAACGGTCATCATCCAAGTGAAGGGGAATGCGACCGGTCTTGAAATGAGAATGGTGGCACTGAGACGATCCTGACGAGGATGGCAATTCGTAGGTCGACTGTGAAATCAAAGCAGCGGTCATCATCCAAGTGAAGGAGGATCTAACCGGTCTTGAGAAAGGAATGATGGTGTTGACCCGGTGCTGACGTAGACGACGACTCATTGGCCAATCATGAATCCGAAGCAGTGGTCATTATCGTCATCCCGCCAAGGTCGAATCATGAGAGCTGTGCTTGGATGGCTCCCTGAGTGATGTTAGATCCTTCCCGGTGATTTCAGAGTTTTGCAAGCTTTAGGCTCGAGGCCCAACCTTCGGAGGACGTTCTAACATCGGTGATGTAGTAGATGAGGTAATTATCATGTTCAAGGCCTCCCTAAACGTTTTCAGAGCTTGTCACTTCTTAGGTCGAGGATCGACATACGGAGTATGTCCACGCTTAGTTGCACAGGATGCTAACCCCGGTCTTCAATATCAGATGCAGGCTCGGTCAATGTTAGAGAGAAACGCAGGGCTTCTCCGTCCAGTGTTGTAAGAAATGGTGCAGCTTCCCCGCCTCGTGAAGATAGACTTGCCAGGAAGAGAAAGGGTATGAACTGCTTCTCAGGTCGGGTTAGGGAAGGCAATCCTACCCGTATAGCTCCAGCTTACTTCGCTTGTTTTCTTGCAGGTATAGGCGGTTGGGAGAATCACGCAGCTTCCCTTCCTGGTGCCGGGAAGAAGCATGCAGCTTCCCTGCTTCACAAAGTACCACCTTGTTCGTTTCTTTGCAGATGTGCCAGGTTGGAGAAGCGAATTTCTTGCCTTGGCTGAAAAGAGAGATGCTAAACCATTTTCCATGTCATCTGATCTTTTTCCCTGCAGGGACTGACGGATCCGGCCGCATTGCTCCGTGCTATGAAAGATCAGCATACGGAGCTCCAGCGTCAAGCTAATTAAGCCCATCTTCAGGCTACCCAGGCTCGGCAGCATGCAGATGGAGTGGAGGCAGCCTTGAGGATACTTGT